CCTGGTAGCAGCCACGTGGCAATATTGTTTATAGAGATACATCGTTCTCTAATATAATTCTGTGAACTGGGCTGTAAAGTTAGATTTGTAGCAAAAGATAGTGGAATTCGAATTGAAATTGTTTTCGTGATAGGCAGATGCCCCAAAAACCCAGCAAATCAATATTTTTGACCAAATAAATTCATCACAGAAACACTATGGCTATAGCGACGGTACAAATTGATCATATGTTTAAACTTGAACAACACAACGCTTTCAGTAAGCTGAATAAAAGGTCATGTTAATATTTAGTTGTAGCGGAACTTTAAAAATAGTTTTATTCAGAGCTACGTAAGTGTGAGTACCCTTGTTATATTAAGGATAGTTAAAGCTTTAAACAGAGTCGGTCGTAACGCTTCAGGTGCACGATTGATTTGGGTATGTAGTCATGCTATGTAGTATTGCGTGTCAGTCGCTAAGCGTGCTAAACGTGTTTTGTTTAACATTGGTAATGTAGGCTCGCACTATGACCTAATAAGTATTGAACAATATACATTATAATTATCATGAGACAGAAATTACGTATGTTGAGGGTCTCTAGTGTTTAATTCGCGGTTGTCATATATCAGTTTGAGTGACGACTCCACTAGTTTATTCCATTGGTGCAGTGGTAAGTTTATCGCTGCAGTGTTAATAGGTCTCCATACAACCTCCAATAGCTCGTACTTCTTGATCTTACTAAATTTTTATTCCAGTTTGGGAACTGAACGTTAAGACCACATCTAAACAGATCCAACAATAACTTCTGCATACGCTATGACCTTTAATTCGGTTTAATATTGGTACTACCGGCTATCATTAAGCCTTCTAGCTAACTACCATCTTATTGTTCCCTATATTTAAACGCATACATAGTTTTCTCTCAAGGGAGGAAAAGCTTGGGTTCGACAGATAGATAAGGAAGATAAAGAAGGCATCAAAAGTTATCGTTACTGCCAAATAACTGAAATAATCACTCTGCTAAGATTCATGTTTACCTAGCTAAAGACATGTGTATAAATATTAGCACACGAAATTATGATATTAATCTTTCGATGCAGGACCCTCTCACCCCTTTGTCTCCTAGAATTTTATGATCTGTCGCCTCCTCGCTTCAATGTCTCTTCAATTTTTCAAAAATAGATTTTTGTTAGCTTCAAGTGGTATTACACTCTCCTATGAATATAACCTTAGGCTACAAGTGAATGTTGCGGTTTAATTCACTGCTTTTTGCTTCGAGAGCCACAAATCGTGAGATCTCCAAGTCGATATATATTCTCGAAACAGGTAGAACTTTTGCCGCTCTATGGGCGTCTCCATTTTGCGACAGTCACTTAGTCATTCGTGCACGATAACATTAGCCGAAAAGATATCAAATCCTATAGCAAGATTAACGCGTAAATCACAAAGCCGGACAAAAGGTTTTGTGTCTATCAGTGCTTACTATCAACGGCGCAAAAGCAATTTATGCCGAATATGTAGATGACGTTTTGCTTACTAATTACTATACTTACTACAATACACGCTGCGGATGTGTTTACATTATTCCTAGAGTTATTTAATAATGTCCGTTGGTATTCCGCTGTTATTCTACCAAACAAATACGAAGCCACGTCACTTATTAACGGACATTATTTTCAGACGATAAAATAACACTATAAGAGTGCTCAGTTATAATGATTGCGAAGTACGTGATAAATTCCAACATTGATAAGCACTCAGACGTCTATGCGACGCGGTATGATGTGGTACACCCACTATTAATCAGTCATACGTGCAGATATGTTTATGTTGCAGGTGGAGTCACAGAAAAAGAAAAGAAAAAGCAGGACGACGCAGCGATATTCGTTGTATGGCCGGTCTGAGAGATCTCTCAATAACTATATTTTGTAGCACAGTTTAACAGTCCTTTAGTGAGGTTTTGTAATTTCTGGTCGAACTGCTCCTGGCGAGATCATATCTGCTGTAGCTATTCAATAACTCCCTTCCTCAATCGTGATGCTGCAATCTGATGTCCAGGCTGAGGAAATCTTTGATTCTAACACTGTTAAAGTTTAATAGAATTAGTCGTGGACGAAAAACGAGGTAGGCTTCAAGTGCACTCTGTCCCTAACCATAAACTACCCCACTGCCGGGAGCTGCGCATGGACGAAATCGAGTAGCTCATTGTCTTCAGGTGACATAAATTGTATTAGTTGAACCTGACGCTTCTCACCTATCATTGTTTATTTCGTTTCTGTCCTTCTCGAACTGCTAGCCTACCTGCCTTCTAATGCATTCTGGCAACAAGGATGGTAGTTAATACTGGGCTTTGAGCCCTCACAAGCTGAAATATTTACAGGTTCCTTTCGCCCGTGTCCATGTGAAACACCTTTGCAATATAGAAGGAAATTGAATTTACACGTGATGAATAATAAGATAATAATGAGGCCGGCAGCTGCGCTTACTAACATTTACGGCTGATGTTTTTGTCCTATGATAATCAATTTGGTTCGCTGTGATGTAAGAATTGACAATAAAGAAACAAATTGCCTGAAAGAAGTTTCAAGGTCGAAATGGCCTCTTGGTTCAAGGGAAAACAATGATAGGAGGTAGGGAGTCTGACAGAAGAAAGGTGGGGGGGGGGAGGGCAGAGTTTACGTTCACACATCACAAATATATAATCATTTGAGGGGAAAACATGGAAAGCGTAAGTAGAGTAGGAGTACTTTTAAAACCAGGAATGATGGCCGATAGTTTTCTGTATACGATCATCAACAACGCGACTGTGTTGCTAGTAACGATGTTCAGTGAACAAGACAAATGGGAACATTGGTCTGTTAAAGTCTGGGGTTAATCAGGTTAGCTTCTTGCAAATATTTCATATCGTGTAACATCTAGATGAGTCATTTAAATAGTCGTCTCACCCAATGCTCCTAATATGGGAAGCGTACAAATAGTGACTGAGTTGTTTTACTGATTAGATGTCTCATTCTTCATTCATGTCTGTCAACGGTTACTTAAAAATTATGATCAATATGGATAGTTTAAACAGGAGGACGCCGTATTCTTTTGACAGTGAAATCATATGAAGTACCTGTGGGAAATGACTTCTAACTATAACTATTTTAAGTTTGTAATAAAAGTGATTACTAAATTATACGTGCATGTGACTATAGGACGAAATTACTGTAGTCTCTAAGCCTCTTCCTACAAGTATTTGTATAAGCATTAGTGCAGGTAGGGAGGAAAGTTATTTAATTTGCATAAGAATTGTTGCTATTCAGGAAATTATGGGCGGAAAAGCACACCATTACTCAACATAAAAATGACCATATTTGACTCGTTTTTCCAGGCTTACTAATTTATCTGAAAAAGCTTCTAGTGTCATTTTTTTTAAGACTGTAGTGCTCCGTATTCCTATTCTCAAAGGTACTTTCGTGCGGAGTTATGCTCAATTGCAACTACGCTCCTGATTTTGCTCAGTTTCTCTTCACGTTGGAGTACCCACTTGAACGTTTAGTTCATTCATTAAACTGTATCTAGCAAAGGCTGCGAGCCTGGTCAATGACGAATGAATAGTGCACATCTGTGTGAACAACGAAAGTTCTTGAGATAAAAATAATCTGAACTTATATGTGCGAGTAAGAAAGGCTCATGCAAAACCAACAGCTTTAGAATAGCCCTTGTACAATATTTTTTTGACTGTGAGACATCTACTGCGGAACCTGATGCCTATTTTATTATCGTAAACACTTAAAGGCTGGATTTGTCTTGACAGATAGAATTTATTAGTTTTCATCAATGATTCATCAATCAATACATTTCATACGCAGCGGCTTGATTAACTACCGTTGTAAACTGTTTTACTTGATTTGTTTCTCGTTCATTTGTCTCTCCTTCTCTCTTGCGGTAATGATACATTTGTATCTGAGTTATCCATATTGGCCGTAAAATTTTCCTATCCATTTCTCAAATATGTAAGTCACGTAGACTCTAGTGCAGTACATCCAGCGGTTCTACGTCTCTTATGCAATTGCGGTAAGTTTTTCTTACCGCGCTATCCGTCCTTGACTCATGCTCATGTATATATTCAGAGAGAGAGAGAGAGCGAGAGATTGGCATGTTTTGTCTTCCATCTTCTGTAATCTAACAGGTTGCAACGAGATTTGTATATCAGTATCAAAAGCTATCGACGGTCGGCATCATTTATAGACTTCAGTAAAAATCATTATTAAGAATATCATTAGAAGGTCAACCGCTACTAATTAAAGCGTCTTCATAATGCTTCGCAGCAATTCTTTGTTTCCTGTTTATTTTTACTGCTTACCAATAACAAAAAGGGCAGAGGCGAAGCCTGTAGGTTGCAGCAAGTATTGTTTTTTCCTTCTACTATTGAGGTTTATGACATCTAATACGAAAATATTATCTAAGACAAAAGGAAACCGAGCGCGGATACAACGGGTCTAGTAGCAACGCAATAGATGAAAGGGTAGATTCACTTAGATCGTCATTGTGCACGTGGAGCACGCGGAGGATTACTGAAACAAATCTTATTGCGAAATTTTTTATCATTATTATTATTATTTTCGAAATTTTATTATCATTATTTGCGAAAATTAAATAGATTGTAGTTATCAGTAGCATATTAGACTAGATTACAATATTTGATACGTGTAGTAAGGCAGTAGTAGTTCTTGTTATTCCATTTTGCTTCCTGCTCTGTAGACAGTCATTAGCGTACGTTAGGTACTTTCACTACTTTCTTATATCTTTTTTATCCACTTTTACCATAGACTGCCACACCTCATCTTTCGATAATAAATACTTCCTTTCATACAGATAATCTCATAGGCCTCGGTGGTCGCACGTTACTTTTGGCTAAGAAAAGTCTGTTCATCGTCTATACATGTCTACCACGGGGACACATATCATCTTCCATCGCCACTACTTAAGGCGCTTTTTACCACCTTCCATTAGTTAGTCTTCACATAGATGTTTGGTTATTGATGTCGGACCTGCTTTCTATTCAGCCACTGTCTGCGTCCGAGGTCTGTATCGGACCGCCATGTTCATCAGCTATCGTATGCCAAAGCGGAAAGGTCGTTATGGTCAGTTGTGATTCAATGTCAACGAAAACCCTACGCAAGTTTTCGTGTTACGAACTTTTGAAGGGATTGCTGAAGAAGCTGGGATCGACATTGCCATAATTATTTGTTGCTGGATTTTTAACACACAGTCTGGTGTTGTAGGTCCCTAAATAATATCCCAACCAATTACATGACTTACAAGAAAGGGTACTGAGATGAACATTGTGTTAATTGAATGAAAATATTAATCAAGGATATTAACAAGTTATGTCTATTGCTAGTGATGATCTATACAGGTACGCATACGTGTCAAACAAGACAGTCTTCAATTATCAATATGAAAAATAAGAGTAAAACATATACCTGGTATATTTACGCGCGCGCTAAACGTGTGTGCATACAGTTGGGTGTGCTAGTGGATTTTTAAAAGCTTACTCTCACTTACTGCAGACTCTGTTCAGTTAATTTCACTTCAGAGTCATAAAACTAGAATGTTTTTAATTGCTTCTGGCATTATCATTCTGGCATACTTATTTTATCATTTCAACAATTATCTTCCTAAATATATTGAGGAACTCTACCGTATTCTGTTTATTAACAGTTGTCAATTGCTTATCTTATTTCGCCCCATAGGCAGGCACCTGCACTTCATAAAATAAACTATGTTTAATGTAGTTTCATTCATTCTTTCATCCTCTGATAATTAAGCATCGCCCTACGTAACACACCTTGTTCATCTTTCGCTTATTCACATCCCCTCCAATAAACAAATGTCGTATTTTGTTTTTACACACGCATCCCATTGGTCTTTCAGTATACCTTATCTGGGTTGCTAGCTTCATCTCGTCGTCGTTGTCATCTCTTACTCTGCACGTGCCATGGCAGTAGATGGCGCAATCTTACCGAAATCTTCATGTAATAGATAAAAGTGCTAACGGTTCAATTAATCAGCAACTTTACTTCAAGTTGGACATGACACGCCCAACTTGAAGTAATATATTTTCGATGCTTCCACTGAGGGCCTCTTGTCTCATCGCCGGCCGTCATTAATTGATTGCTTCCTATGCCGCTTCGTTTAATCCGATAAAATTAACTAGCGAGATAAAATAAGCATCTATTGTTCTGCGAGCTGCTTTATGATTACCAATATGGCTTACATTTATTATTGCAACATCCGATTTATCTTGAACCGAGCCTAAGGTAAAAATTGCTTGGTGATCGGCTAGTCGATGATCTACTCATGGGTATGGTAGTAATTTTCATCGAAAAAATAAATCTGAAATATTTCTACCATATCTGGTAATAATAAGATGCCCGTTTGTTTATAAACTGGGATACTGTGACGCCCTTGGTATGATACTCCTGCTAACGCGTTCGCATACAGTCGTGCTTCATGAGGGGTTTAAATATTTCGTTGCCATTAGGATTATATTATTGTCACTCAATGGTCTAATAGTTCCACTTATCTGGTTGTGTTTCATTCAGAATTATTTTCGTCCAAATTCCGGTGGATTTCGTGGTAATTAGTAAAGCAGTAATTATAGAATTTTAGTTACCTCATATATTTATTATCAGCTAACGAACTGTACATGAAAGGAGGCGGCTCTAGCTATAGGGTCTCTAGTCAATCAATGGAACAAGCAGGTCATTTTATTATCTCTATCACGCAGGTCGCGGGGAGAATGAATCTAAAAAAAACACGTCATCAGGAAAGGTATAGCTAAGTTACGTGTACTTAGTCGTAATTCAAAAAACCAAAAGCTTAGCACATACGCCGATCCAACTAACGAATAGCAGCTATAGGTTTCAGTTAGGCAGGCTCCCAGCCATAAAATTATGTGTGCGGCGCGACTGGTGATGCGACAGGTGGCCGATAGCAGTTACATGGCGGCCCGGCTAGTCCTCATCGCCGGGGTAGTTTGAACTCCGGAGGGAAACGTTGGTGGCTTTTGCGCTCCAATATTAACACCTGTCAACTGATGGACCATTGTCGTCGTTTTCTGGATGATATCGATTACCTCGCCTGCACAAAGTCAAGGTAGATAACACGTTTGGTATTTGCTTACGTAGGACTAATAGAAGCGTATAGCTCAAGGCGTGCTTGCTTCAGATACATTGTTGCACTTAAACCTTGTCTTCTTCATAAGCGCCAAAACAGAGTCTTCCTTCCATTGCTTCCTGACTCCGTACAAACAGTATATCATAAATATGATAAGCGATTCTAAGGATAAATGAGATAAAACTGACTGTTGTGTTTAGAAAACTGACTATGAGTTTTCAAGGAGTTTCATTAACTTTACTTAGACAAGGTCGTAATGAATCAAGTAAGTTCCTAATCCTGGTTCAATATAATGTAGGGAGACAATCGAGTTGCATTACTTATTGGACTTACCAGTAAGTTTAGCGGCTCCAACGTCACCTTTGCCTCCCGATACCATTACGACGCGGTTCACTTGCGAAATGGGAGCAGCCACTTCAGCTGCTACCCGTGGCAATGTATCCAGCATCATATCGAGGATTGCTGCATCTTTATACTCCCGGAAGGCGTCTGCTTTTTTCACCAGTTGCTCCGCCTCGGCCTTCGCCTTTGATTCCACCGCAAAAGCCTCGGCTTCACCTTTTAATCTGTGTGTTGGTAAAGAACAGAGAAAATCTAGGTCAAAAGTAGCAAGTATAAAAATATTTATATGTGACGGATTGACACAAATGTCTCGATAGGAGTAATTGAAAGATAATCTTAAAAAAGTGTTTAGTTCAAGTTGTAATTAGGGCAAAACAGATTACATACAGATGGTATATATTAGGTCGTTCAGTATAATATTTCATGCTATTTTATATATAATACGCTATTTTAACAGTGTGACATTTTTTCAAAGTTTGAGTTGTTTATTTGGTATCGTTATTCGGAATTCTACCGTGCGACTTGTATGAATATGAGTTCCACTTTGGAACTACAGTGGCGTAAGCCGCTTGCCGTAGAAACCTTATATTCGGTAAAGGTTCTAGTATTAACAACATAGTGAGCTTTTGGTTGGAAAAATTTTAGGAAAAAAACTTTGAACACGAAAATTTCGTGTCTCGCAGTTAACTACTATGTAGGTGGATAACGAAAAATTGAGAACTGTGGTGGAAGTCAACCTATATCAAAGTGTGCAACGATTAGGAGTCAAATTTGGTGCACGTACGAAAGCGTACTTGTTTACTCCAATTGGAATAATATCGAAAAAGAATCGAACAAATAAGTGTCGCATGATTTGAGCAAGGATTAAGAACGAAGGCGTCGAGACGTTTGCTTCTTTTTAGTCTCACGTTAGTAGAGTCACACATTCGTGGAGAGAGTCGTAACTTATAATGGAGACGGAGTTCTCTAATAGACAGACGCAGACGGTCACATTAAAGGTGGACGTCACTGAGCCATCCTAGAGCAAATACACAAGAGTTTCAAAAACGTATGGCGTCTGTTTAGTGGTTTAGCGCATATGTCATTAGCTATAGCCCTTCCTTACCGCTAGAGTAACCTCAACAATCGGAGAAGATGATGAAGAAGCTTTACTCGGGCAGCCAAGACTAGTGAACAGAGGTAAACCGCTAATATTGCACAACAATGCTCGATCTAACATCGGAAAAACTGTAGTGGCAAAAATACATAAGATGCAGTTTTCTGTCATATCCACTATATTTTCCAGACATGGATCTCTCAGACTAGCGATTTTACAAAATCCTGATAGGAAGGTTATTATAATTTCAACAGCGTGTCGAAGCTGCCTCTTGAGATATCATAGACTCTTATCCGGATTTCGATTGAAACCAAAAGAACGAAGCCCGTAAAAAGGTTTGAAAGGTTAGAGTTTACGATGTCATGTTTAGTACTGAATGTCCTAATATATCACAACCATAGAAGCAATGAGCCCTTGTGAACATTACATCAGACGCACCGAATGGCTTCGGCCTCAGCTTCAGCCTCCATTATGATTCTATTCTTGTTGGCCTCAGCCAGTTTCTCCAATCGGTACTTTTCTGCTTCTGCCGGTCTCCGAATGGTTGCTTCGAGCTCCTTCTCTCGACGCAAAATCTCCTGTTCCTGCACCTGAATTGCTTGCGTACGCTCCACCACTTTCACTTGCATCTGTTCTTCCTTGATGCGCTGTCGCGTCTTAGCGGCCTAAAAAAAACAGGTTATTTTTTCATGTAATCAATTGTTTGGGCTATACAACCAATATAGATGCTCCCAGATGCCGAATTATCTGGATGAATAAAGATGCGAGTGCCAAATAACTAACACTAGCAAAAATATAGGCCCTCCTTACTGACGCTCAGCCTCAACTTGAAAAGGGCCTCGTACAATTCTAGAGCGACGTGTATCGCGTACGAGGTGGAGAAGTATCGCATAAGTCAGGTTTTACCTGAAGACTATAGGCCAATTCCGAGTCGGCCTTCTTTGTGTTCACTTCCTGGTCATAAATCGCTTTCTTCAGCTCAAAGTCCCGTTTCGCCTTGGCAACTTCCGTCTCATTGAGGAACTTAGCCGCTAATCGTTCCTCTTCCGCTAACGCTTCCTTAATCTGTGCGTCTCTGTAAATCGAATTTATGAAACAAAAATTTAAAAAAAAGATCTTTGCGCAGATGCACAATAACTTGATTTATAAATTGATCAAATAAAAAATTACACCAATTATCTATAATCCGCTGAACACATTATGAATAGTGTAAAAAGACACAGTGAATTATCTACGACATCATACTGCTACTGACCTTTTAGCTTCGGCCTCTCCAATGCGCGCGTCTCTTTTCACCTCAGCTGTTCGGGCCATACCTAGAGCACGAAGATATCCCTCATCGTCACTTATATCCTTGATCGTGTACGATACCACCGTAATGCCCATGTTAACCAAGTCTGAAGACGCTACCTCGAATACCTGTATACATACATAGGATGTGTCAATGAACCAGTATCAAAGATAATGTGTCAACTGAAAAGTGCTGGCGTCAGAAGATGCCATCTGTCCCAAAGCAACCCCTGTTGATAAAAACGGCGTAAAATAGCTTTTACGCCGTAGAGAGTAGAGGTTAGATGGCTTAAAGAAATATGTATTCAGGGAATAAGATTTTTTTGAGCGATCGATTTAGTCTTTCCATAAATTGTCGCTAGATTGTTTTATACACCATTTCCGTAGAATTATCTCTGTAGTCTAATGCCATGACTAACTAGATAAAGTAGTCAATAGTAATCTATTCACTGACAACAACAAGCAACAAGTATAGCGCTGTGACGACGGACATTGACACGTTTTACTATTTTTTGCAGCCTTTGCTTACATATTTTATGGATATGATTTGAGTTTTAAGATTTGTTCGTTCAACTTAATCACCTGTGAAAATTATAAATAAAGTTAAATCCGAAACTTTCTGATTGAGTCGTTCATCAATTGATTTTGTCAGAAACCATGAAACGGATTACTGCTATGAGAAATAGTATCCATAATATATGAGTGTGTTTGCTAAGAACTGCCATGATCCGGTTGTCAGTGACCTTTTTTATACCTGTTTTGAAAATTTTTTCCGATCTTTGTAGATTTCCTCAACTGTCATTGTGCCCATAATAGCTCGCTGATGTCCTTCAAGTGTTTCTCGAGCGATTGACATGATTTCGTCTTCTGATTTTCCAAGGAACTGTTCGCATGCAGCCCGAAGCATTTCCACATTTTGACCCTGTTATCGTTTTTTTTTCGGTTGTGAAAGGTATAGAAAATATAAGTGATAAGAAGTACAACCGCTATAATTAATCCGTTTTGTATGAATACTAATTTATATGCTATATATACTTATTATTATTTCCGATATTTCAAAATCTAACCCATAAAGCTTTTTGACGCGGCAACTCTATTGGTCACAAATATAGCAAAGAAGCAATTTCTAACCCAGTAGATGCAATCTTTTGCATTAAACATAGTAGTTTAGTGCGTAGCGAGTTTGCTAATAGTGCAGGTTCGAATTGGCGTTTGTTTCGCGCCATGTTAGCAATGTGATGTAATATCAATGGTTATATGATATGGCGGTTCGATACGTTATAGCTGAAACATCTAGATACAATGTTTTGATAATGGTCATTTTCGCAAAAACATCTAGACGCAGGTATACCTGAATTTTTACTTGTGCTATACCCGTCACAGAGATGGGTACTCCCTGTTGTGTGTACACCCGCGCTGATTCTATGGAAAGAGTCATTGTGTTGAGGGAAATCCGCTGTACGCGTTGAATTATCGGCCAGACAAACACCCGCCCTCCGGGCACCATCAGCGGGTGTGAATGACAACATCCTGCGATAATACAAAAATTAATTAACAATATTACTAATAATGGCAAAATAGTGTAGAGCTTTCATTTCCTCCTAAGGTAAACTATATCTAAATTAAGGTTTATGTGCTAGTAGAATAGAATAAATCAGAATGTGTGATACCGTTGGTATTTACTGAATTGCGCCACAAGTGTTCCGATGTTTCAGAGACTATAGTGTGATATCAAAATATGAACCATATATATGAAGAGACGGAAAATTAGTTCTTATACTAAATTTGAAAGGCTTTCAAGAAAGCTGAGTAAAGCAAAATGCTTTAAGAACAAGTTTGAATGACTAGTAAGTAAATCTCTATTTAAGGGAAATACATTTGACAGCAGGTGTTTACACATCAAGTCTACATATATAGAAGGATCAACAAAATGTTTTGCTCTGATACGATGAGCGTCCTTCTTTCCTTTCTGAGTAACATATTTTACATGAGCACCATCTAAAACGTAGTCCTCAACATGCCTTAACTATTTTATGTTGATCAATTCAAATCGTATATTAGGCTTCAGCCAGTGCTCCAAGCCCAATGGATAAAACGCAGAGTTCTTGGGCAATTCGAAACAGGTGCAAGTAGTGTGCATGGAAGGAAAATGGGTCGGGCACAACTAGAGCAAGCGCGACTTCAGTGAGGAGTGATGTCACCCATAAGAGTAACGCTTCGTCTAAGCAAAAGATACAGGAAGGCACGCTTCACCTCTAGCGACTTCACTGATATCTTTTTAACAATCGATCTTCTTGTCCAGAACGCTATAATACAGTAACTTTCTTCTTTATCTCTTTGTACATATTCATTTCCTTATTGAAACATTCGTGATAGAAGAAGGGCTTCTTCGGTTATAAGCCTGTAGTGGCAGTATTGATGCTAAAGGACTTCAGCCACGCGCAGAAAAGTATTAGGGTAAAAAAATTCGACAATATAAACATTTCAGGTTATATCTTATACTCTAGATTTGTCGTAGAGAGAACTATGTATTCTGATATGGTTGATATGACCCGACCCAAGTCCTAAGAGGGGTATATGCTAAGACGCCCTCTTAACTTGAAACAAAAGGCTGCTTGTCTCAATATGCCTATATAAACGTCGAACACTCGTCTTTCAATTGAGATCTTCTTCTATATATATATATATATATGTGTATAATGGTGAATCATATAATAAGCTCATTACACATTTGTCGATTTGTTGTAGGTATCTTTAGTTTGGACATATTTAATTTTTTACTGTTATAGAATACCTGCCAGTGCCATGCCCTCAGTATGTAACACACATTATGTCTTATACAGCGAAATTGTTGAATTACAACAGTTTTTACAGGATGGGGAAAGCCTACAGGATTGGACATACATGAAGGTCCACAGTCTACGTTTGGTGTTATCAGTTCTCACCTGTTTTTGTACTTTTTATTAAGGGTTAGTAATATAAAATAAGTTCTGTGTTACGACAAAATAACACATCGCTGGGTTTTATTACATTTTGTTAGTGTTATAAACAAGGATACGCCTGCCCATTTGTACAGTATATTTGAATTTATTAGCAATGCTACGCTAATGCGTTCTTGTATACATCGTCGAGACGCGAGCGGCGTAAACAGATATAACACTTTTTACTGAATTGTCTACCGATACTCTGTTCTTCGAAAGGGCGCTTCTTCGCGCCGAAAAATCGGATCGTTATGGCGATTGTCAATATATCGTTTAGCAGACGCTCAATTAGCTGAAGCTTCAACGCAGTGCTGACTGTATGTCTACCCTGGCCGATAAATAATAAAAGGGCAAGTGTCAATACCTATAGAACCATGGCATCTATTATCATGATATCGACAAGAACGATTCCAAACAAAATCTGCATTCTGATTAATTCTGTATTCTAGTTGCTGAATTCATACGTGTTATTATCACATTGAAACGATGGTAAGAGAAAATGAAAGATTCGCAATGCAAATTTATTTCGGATGCCATCTGAAACATTTACAAGTTTAAGTTTAGGCAGAATTCACATATTGAATTAACAAGTTTCGATCTACTTATCGTTGCATTCTTGCCCCCTTATTTAATTGAACGTTGAATAGTCTACCGGTCCGTTCTGGCTTCTGGGTTTTATTCAATTCGGAACGTTTAAAAACTAGCCTTATAAGGCAGCAAGCTATTGGGTTTGGAAGACATCTCAATCATTGACCGCCCCATATTAATCGCTATCTACGCGTTTGATCTTCACGTTTACCATTTTGCACCACGGAACTTTATTATTTCAGTCACAGCTTTGGATACATTGTTCTATTGAAAAGAACCGTAATCGAATGTTATTAACAGGTAGATGCAGGTTAGTCTCGCGCTTCCTAGTACGATGCGTACTCAATAACTAACGTTCCACTCAATGATGTCGCTATCGCTATGTCCATCAGCAGAAACGTTCGCACAAGTTACAAACGCTCAATTCAAAAACTGCTTAACTGTCCTTCACGAGGTTTTGCTATTTTTACCTGATGTGCCAGTTATTTCCTTAACAGAGCGTAACATTGCCCTCGAGCCCTCGAACGTTCATGACTAAAATGTCCCTCCATTTAGGTTAACAGGTGAAGAAAAAGAGGAATAACAAACTGTATAAAGGCGCTTTGCTCTTTTTAAACCTAAATATGTAAATATATCATTTTTAGACAAATGAACGTCAAAATGCTTAACTAGACTATTTTGTGTATTAAAACAGTGGGCGGTAAAACGTGAAAAACTGGTATAATTACAAGCGTAAAATGAGCTTCTTTCGACATAATTAATTCGTTGTCTAATATTTATTGAGGAAATATAGACTTATGTGTACACTCGAGCAAAACGGTCATTCCGTATATAATAGGATAATTGGAGTATGACTGTGGCTGGCAAGGTGGCGCCTGCAGCAGGCAATCATTATATAATATGCTCGAGTAGACCTTAATAATCGAAAAGGCAGTCTAACTAAACATTCGAATGGCATATGCTCTGTATTCGTTCAGGATGCATAGGCCCTGAATGCCCCTATTTCGAAACGAAGAAGCCATTGCTTATCTTACACAATACGGCATACTACATTATCGTTTACAAAAATTGATTGTTTTTACGCGTTTCGCTGACATAGCGTATTCAAGCTAAGTCCGAATGATCTGCATAGAGCCGTACCCATCGTGGTTTGATCACGACTCCGCCGAAAGAGGTGTCCTGCTAAAAACGACAATTAATAGCTCCGGCAAACAATAACTACTAAGCAGAACACAAGTCAGCTCCATTTACACCGCCTATTTACTTAGTTGTCCTGGGCGGCCTTTACGGACCGCCGATAATATAGACACGCATGAAATCCGCACAGAACAAATCGTTCTTGGAAGTACTCTGGCTTGTATCGTAGATTTTTATTAGCTACGAACATCGTCGAAGATTGTATATATTATCGCTTTATATTGTTGATTAACCGATCTCTTTATATGCGTTAATATTCACATTAGCTTAATTAGTAAATATTAGAAAAAAAACAAGTCAGCTTATGGAATAGTCGATATAAATATATTTTGGCGGAATGTAGTAGATCTATTAAATCTATATATATTAAAAAAACACATGCTGTGAAAAACGAAATTGAAACACGACAGTCTAAAACTGTAACGTAAACGAACGGCCATATTGGAATTCAGAACTGAAAAAAAAAAACTGAAATGGCCTATGAATGAACACTTCGAGAAACGTTGCGGAACCAATTAAGACGTTAAACGGTGCACTATTTTCTAGTCATGCCTAAAAGCTGCCGATATTCATTTACAATACTCGTCCACCGGTTCTTCCTGTGTCAAATATTTTATTCCTCTAACTCTCTCAATACCATAATTTAAACGTCTAGCACCTCTCCACATATCTGACATTCTAACTCAACTAGCAGCCTCTAAATCCATGGAAATTTGTGCAAGTTTCATTAAACTTAATTGAACGTTTACAAATATTATATTTGGAATTTTATATTTTTCGTTGATATGAAAATTGCGACTACTATATTTGATGATTAATTGTCGAACATAATTCGCTATCACCAGAATCAATCCAAGAAACAAACTGAAATGGACCAACTACCTGCGGTTGGTGCTTTACAAAGTTCTGCTATTACGTCAAGCGACAGCAGCGACGCTGCGAGACAGTAGTAAACGTATTAGGTATACGTGTGCGTACCGAACTGTTAAGGGGTCCAGGTTGTCCGTTACGGTAAGCATTAAGTGCTCGCATAACGTTTGCATCAATGGAATGGAAATTCCACTTCGGTCATTAATTGGGTAGACCTTTGTAAGAATGATGGCTAGTCTAGTGCATTAGGTCAGTCTTGAGTTTACCCTATGCTAGCTTCGTAAGTTCTGTTCGAGCCGCAGGATCTTCCACACGATTTGGCCTAATTCAACTTTATCTTTAGAACGAATGAATAAGCGAAAGCGAACCAATAAATGAAAAAATAAAACAATGGATCGTGGATCGCTGGTAGAACTTAGGTTAACTGATGTACATAAAGCACTAGGGCACTAAAATCAATAGTAAGACACCAAAAATCAACAGAGATCAGCTGATTTTTTTGCTAGCGGTTGTTTTTTCCCTGTGAATTACTCATAAGTGAACTGAGCGTAAATTCACATAATACTGACTCAGAAAATCAGTGAATTCGAGAACTGGAGATAGAGCAGCATTTCAATTACGCGGGAACTGTAGTAAATTCAATCAGATTGCTCAGATCACCTTGTGTGGCTTAAGGCACACGGAAGGTAAAGATAACACACCTTGTGTGACGATAACAACTCTGTTGTCAACTGGTCAACAAAGACATTTGTCATAATTGAAGAATATCCGTGTTAGGAGTCAGTAGGTTGCCAAACACTATGTAGCATTCTAATTGTTTCACTGATAGATCTATTGGTGTGAAAAATACAGGTTTTGCATACATGCTTCATGACCAACAAGAACAACAGTACCTGCTATACAATGTATCTCTGCGTTATTTAGCAGCACGACTTTATCATACATGTTGTTCTTTTCACTTTATGGTTAAAGGCATTGATCGAACAAGTAGAAAAAGGGGTCTTGTTGTGACATTTTAATCCCCAAATGAATACGATACATGGTCGCCGTGCAAAGACACGACAGATGTCTACCTTAAGCGAGATATGCAATCATTGCACCCATATGCACTGGATCGTGCATTACTCGCAAAATAATTACTCGTTCATAAATGAATAAATAGCAAGTTTACTCTGCTAAAATACTTTTAGTCGGACCAAAATTACTACAACGTTTTCGTACGAGTTTAAAGCCTCGCGTGACCTCCGCCAAGATGCAATTTTTCGGCAAGCTTCATCGATCGTTGGCTAAGGCATATTTCGGGTTTGCAGCGCAATGCTTCCATCCAGAATATAGAACTGGCACAAATCCTTGGACTATTATAGTATATTATATTGCTTCGAGCACTCTCTGTAACTCAATTGATATATCTGTTTGCTACTCTTTCAGCAAACTTAACAGTCGGTGCAGCTAGAAGAAACAAATATCCACATAAGAATGTGCGCGATAATAGCGACTATCGATGGAGTAAAAGGGTCCCGCCCAGACACTAAATGCCGTAGCTCCCACAAGTACCTTCGCCACAGCGCGAACGCTTCGAGCATATGCTGGCGAGTTTCTCTACAAGATTTTACTGCAACCGAAAACACTTCTAATTTTAATGAATAAACGTATCCTTTTTACCGCGTACCTTATACTGAGTTAATTTTCAGACTCACCTGACACGACCAGGGCCTCGTTGGGACCGCAGGCGACAAAACCGGCTACCATGGTGCTGGCAGCGTTTGTCTTTGGAAAATAAATGGACTCCTGGAGGCGCCGTGCCTCCACTGCTGAACGCACCCACCTCAAAGCAAATCACGATTGCCAAGTTCACCGCTAACCGAACTGAAGATCACTTCACCAGGACTCAATTATGCACGGCGGGCAAATATACACCAAATTTCGTTAAATTCACAAACCTATAAAAATTCACTCTTACACAACAAACTAGTACCTATGTAGATCGAGTGTAGCTGGCGGAGATTGACAGCGGGTTGAACAGACGCGGCGAATCCTCTCCGGGTGTAAACGTTCTCGTCTCGTTGAACTACTTTTGCTACAATCGCTGCTGATACCCGTCCTTCTCGTTGACGGTATCTAGCTATCTACCCCCGCCTGCCTCTATCCTAACCTTTTAGGGGGAAAGCTAGGGCACTCTGGCTGTATGTGCGAACGCAGGCCGAGGAGGAAAGGGCTTCAGAGACACAGCATGTTCAAATAAACGGGTTGGGCAGGATAGCGCCGCCAAAGTAACATCGATCTCTGCCTCACCACACCGATGGTGCTGTATAAACGGTATAATAGTTAGACGAAAGTTTACGATGACAGGCTCCTGATAGATGCTAGCTGTTACTGCCTCAGCAGCTGCTGACTCTGCAGGCGCTACCGCTGTAAAATGGGTGCCCTGCTCTCGCGCTTCACTTAGCAGTCACCAACTAACCGACGAACTAGCGAAGGAAACAAGCAATCACATCGGCGGGATACACCAAGCTTCGTTCTGATAATTGCTAGCATTGATTCTTGCCCACTCAAGCAATTTATCGTGCATAGGGATAAACGGATGGGAATTTAAACCCAAATATTCGACAAGTATAATATTAATAATTATAAGTATAAAAATAAACGTAAATTTCGTAAAGGTATAAGTAATAAGGAGCTATATCTTTAAAGCATTGGTAACTACTGAATCTTACCATGATGCTCCAGGAAACACGCTTATTATAAAAATACGGTGGACTTAAGGTTTATAAATCTACAATAAAAAGAAAACGCATGTCATTCTGCAACATATTTTATAGTATATATAAATATATATATAAATATAAATATAGATATAAATATATATATATATATAAATAGTAAATAATAACTAAACAATTACGAACCTATACTGACAATATGCGAAGCTGCGCAAAAGCTCTATACTACATAAAAAACTAGAAGCATTTAGAGTGCCCAAAGTAGCACCAACAACTATAATTCTGTTTTCTCTTTTTTATGTTATGGCTCCTAAATATGGATCTTTTTTATTATTTTGCGTCTAACATTCAACACTAAGAGGTGTTTTTAACACGTTATTTTCCCTTATTTACTTTCTTACCCAATGAAACGCATGTAACAACTTAATTCGCAATGGTGCTATAAGCAGTTAAAACAAAGACTCGTTGTCTAAGACTGATGGATAACACAAGTGATTAATTGTATAGTGTGTCGTTACTACAAACTGTCAGCTGACGTCCAAGATGTAGCGACACACGGCCGACGGTGGAATCGAACGGACGATCCAGCATCTGTCCGCGCTTTTTTTTGGGGCGGTTTGACACTCAAGCATCTAGCCTCATGAAGTAAAATAAATTATACGCGTTGTGTTGACCAGGAACTGGGTGGCAACAAAAACAAAGCTGCATGAGAAAGTCCATGGAATATACGTATGACGGAAACCCGCAAAATACTACCACCCGCGCCCAATATTTCTCGCTTTTGAAAGGCGAAAAAAAAAACACCACGAAAGTTCTGTTGATTGTAAAAACACGAATATATCTTTGGAAGAACTGAGCAAAATAGAAAATTATTCTGACAAAATTATTTTAACAACCGTAAAAGAGTCAATAAAAACATTTCGCTTATTTAAAGCAAGAATTCAAATAGTTAGCTTCGTTTAAATTTCGCGCCCCTTCACTAATTTAAAATATTTTACTGTGTAGACAAAATCAGCCACTTAAAATTACCGCTTACATATCAAACTGCCCACATGCATTATGTTCAGCCGCGGAATCTTGTTAAAACGAACTCTGCCACAATTCTCTCAACAGTCGTTGGATATACAGGATCGCCCGCCTTAGCAAGTGAAATTTCAAAATCGCCCGCGCTCGTCGCTCCTTCCGGTTAGATGGCGTCACTGAGGAGCGGTTATAAATTCGTTGTGTAGCTCTGAGGAGTAGTTCGTTGTGTTCATTGTGCTTCGTCAAAAGAGAACGGTTGTGAAACTCCAGCGAAAATGGTGCGTATTTCGAGATTTGTTACGTGTTGATTGCGTGTTTGGTCACATTGTCGTCGTACAGGCAGTACGAGTCATCAGACTTAAACGTTGGTTCTATAAATATATACAATTAGCAAAGAATTGTAATGTTACGGGAGTTGTAAGCAAACCTACTTGCTTTCCCGCCGGTCCTCCGCCTGCAATTTTACTCTACCGGTCAATCGGACCGCGCCATAGTATGCTGACTTCAACATTGCCGTCAAGGGATATATATATCGGTCCTTCCGAAGCGCTTTTCGCGGATTCTGCTTAAGATTAATCGGAGTGCAACAGAGATGTCAACATGCACCGTTTCAAGCATGTTTTATTCACTTGTATCCATTCACGTGTTGCCGTGCTAATATCTATCACCAAATTGTAATGGCGATTTTCTGAAACTCTTAAATTTTGCTTTTACTGTAACTCTCAGCTGGTCTAATGGAATTTGACGCTTAGCTCATTGTATAAAAGTCATTATATGTTTCATGATATGTGGCATACCGTGTGCAATTTTACTGAACATATTCTAATAAGGGTTAAGTGACCTGATCTAATTTAGCGCTTTCAAAGATAGTGAGGTAGGCATATGGCTCTTATCCCGAGAAGCGGAGCAACTCATTCAACTAACCGCTTCACCCAGAGATTTGGCGCGCATTGATGAATGAACGAATTAGTATTTAAATTTTTAATTCAGTGTATATTTTTTATTGTTGAGGATTTTTTGTCGTAAACACGAGTATGACGACAGACAATAAAATTGTTTTGAAAACACGGAGTCTTTGATTAAATGGCATGTCTCTTTTTATGGAAACTAATCTTTAGGAAATCTGAATATGTGGTGATTCTAGCATGCTTTTATACTTCATCATGCTTAGAAGTTTGCTTTCAATGGACGTGTACTCATTTACCACGTACTTTTTCGCGTTTAGCTGTTACACTATGCAAAAGGAACGGCATAGCGTTCATTGCGTTGATACATAGTTAATATTATTGTTATTAAATAAAAATGTTTACACATTTTTTGTTCTTTTATGAAGCAACCTTTTTCATAAGCCCTGCATTAACAGCTGCTTGTGTCATTTTGTCACCTGCGCTCTACTTGCTTAAATATATGTTAGACATAAGTCAAAACTACTAATCTGCTATCATCTACCCAAGAAATTACTTTCTCTAGATTTTTAACTACCATGCGTGTACATCTAGTTTCTTCACAACTGGTTTTTATAAGTTGTTAACATTAATTTTTAAATTAGGTGGTCTTATGCTTATATATATACATTGTGTCACATAAAATGTCGTTGAAACTGTTCCAAAAAACATACTGAAACCAGTTCGTTTTTTATGTTGGCTTACCTTGACTACATTCTTGTCTCGACTACAGTTAACTACTACTAACCACTATCCTTGGAGTGCTATTTGGTAAAATGTGTTAGTCAAACAACTTAATTCTAATTAAATTGATACTTTTCACATTATTTGGTTTTCAGGCCGGAGGCAAAGCAGGAAAGGATTCTGGGAAGGCGAAAACTAAAGCGATCTCGCGATCTGCTCGTGCTGGTCTTCAGTTTCCGGTCGGTCGTATCCACCGACATCTGAAGACGAGGACCACCGCCCATGGACGAGTCGGAGCCACTGCTGCCGTATACTCGGCTGCCATACTTGAGTACCTCACTGCCGAGGTGCTTGAATTGGCCGGCAACGCCTCGAAAGATCTTAAGGTGAAGCGTATTACGCCTCGTCATTTGCAGTTGGCCATCAGGGGTGACGAGGAGTTAGATTCGTTAATTAAGGCGACGATTGCCGGTGGTGGTGTTATCCCGCATATCCACAAATCACTCATTGGCAAGAAGGGTAACCCGCCGGTTGCCCCGGGTCAAGGACCTAAGGCTTCGTAGAGACAATAACTCTTTCTTCACGCGAAACGTCAAACAAGTAGGATGGACGTAATCATCATCTTATTTGGCGTCTCACTATGAAAACAATTGTAAAAAACGCAAAACGAAAACAGAATAACTGCCACTGGTTTTTCGACCATCGTACATTGCACGCAGGCCGCCTACTAGCAAAGATCCTGCCGGCGTAATTTCATCATCCATCTCTATCTCATTGTGTATTATTTCCATACAAGATTCAATCATTTAAAGAAAAGCGACGAGTAATGACAAATGTATAAAACAAAACTCAGTTAAATTAAAACATATTCGTTTGTCATAATTGTTATTGGTCTAGTCTTCTAGTTAGTGTAATATAAATTAGTTAGAGGGCTGAATATTTGTGGTATGGGACCATAAGGTGCTGTAGCATTTTATGAAATATCCAATTTTAATTCTAGTAACAGAAAAAGTTGGACGCCACAAAAATAATAACTTCTTTTAGTTGTGAACAGATATGTGTGAAGGTGTGTTTAGAGTTGAGTAAGGGACAGCGAATACGCTTAAAAATTGCTATAAAAGTTCTTTAACAAAAGTTGCATTTTGCACTGCAAAAAATGCAGCTTAGTTGAGGTTATAAATAGCTCTCAAAGGACACGAATGCAGAACTTGACGAGTTGTTCATTATTCCAGATACGATGTGGTCTAGCTACGGCTTCGGCGCATCTTAGAGGCGGTGTTTGATTTGAGGAATTACCTTTGAGCCTATTAGTATGTTTGTAACTTCGTGCTTGATCTAGCGTATTCCATCAGAAAATGCAAGACGGGCTCTCGCGTAATGCAGTGACAATGCATTTAACTGTCTGTGTTTTTTAACGTTAAATTAGCGTTAATGGCTAGCATATTTTATAATCACGACACTGTTTCGGAATTCTTCTAATTCTTCTGCCCTTTTCGGGTGATCGTCTCTTTTTTACCGGTATCATGTTGTTTCCTTCTTCCATCGTTAATAATTGCCAAGAAAATTCTAAAATGTTGACAAAATTTGGACATTATCAAACCTAATTGACGACAATTTTATTATTTTTATCAGTTAAATATGCTTTTCTTTAGTCATTTATCACATTAGTTTGATTATTCTTCTATAATTACATACTACTAATAAAATAATGTGATAATCACAAGATACCATTAATAACCATAAATCACACATTAGCTGTACACAGCTCTCTTCTTTTTCTTCAACCTTAGCGATTTGGGTATAGGTTTGACCTACTTTAAGCTTCTGTCTCAGCACATCTGGATAACCGTGTGGTCTGAAATGATTTACGGCTTTTCCTGGAGCGTTATTCGGGGATTTCGAAGATACAGTCGTAAACAATTTGCATCTTTGTTAAGACTGAGAACCAGACATCATAATTATTACACTGCACGTCTGCTGATTGAATACGCGAGAAATTATTTATGGCAAATATTTATTTCAAGTACATTAAAAAAAGTATTTTAGTTGATTGCATTGATTTAGTTATCTATTTATATTGCCTTTAGCTTTAAATTGCATTACAACCTTATAGTAGGGTGCAACACCGCGAGCAACTCCTTCCATTTCAAATGTTCACAGGTAGAATTTTTCTATTTTAATTCGTGTATGCGGTACATATCCCATCTATTAATAATCAATAGCCGTGCTTATTTGTTTTAGTTAGGTATTATTATTTGGTATTGGCAAAGCACTGTAAATATTTTTGTCGGCAACACTAAAATGGAATATGTAGGAAACTTTTGATTCCATAGTTTAACTTACGATGACAGAAGACGAAGTAAGAGACAAAATGCCCATATTTTTTTTATGATCTTTAAGATATTCACGAT